AATATCAATCTAGCACAATTCAACACAACTATTAAATTTGGATTATTTAAAAAGTGGTAGACTAACTTCATTGAGACGATTTACAGTAACTTAACTCTTTGAGGGACACATTTTTTATACTGGATGAATTTTTATGAATATTTGTGTTTTATTCTGTGTGATCCTTTCTTCCGCTATAATTTCAAGTGCATGCGTAAAGTACATCACAGCGCTGTGTAATTATCATTGGTAGTTTCGTGTTATATTATAAGTTATATGTTATATAATAATTATATTTGTGTTGTGTAATAGTTATATTTGTATCTATGGGTATATATTTTTCTGTAGGATTCTCTTTAAAGAATAAGTAATAACAAAATTTAATCTAAATCAGTTAAACAATTTAAGAGTGTATGGGAAACATACAGAGACACACAGACATTCCATTCTATATATATTGTAATATATATAAAATTTTATTTTATATATTTTATGATTAATGATAAACACACATATCGAGGACTTTAATTTACCTGGTGAACTTTGCATTTGCAATACATTACCACCAATCGGAATTGTCTTCGGTCCGGGTAATTTATCGATCAGTCGTCCGACTCTTGAACGATGCACGTAATAGTCATAACCAAACGCAATAATTACTGTAATAATAAACAATAAAAGTACAGTAACAATCATTTTTAGAGCCGACAATAAACGGCAATAGTGTTTTGGTTATTTATAACTGCGCGTCTCTTAACGGAATAGAGTGTAACGTACAAGCTCATGAACAATTCTGTCTAAACTATGGACACAACATTGAATTTTTATGAATGTGACGTCTATAAAGTTGACTGATAACTACGTATCTGAACCTCTTATTATTTGTTGGAGATCGTTTATCTCGCAACATGTCTAAAAACATTTGTGTCACCTCGTGAGAGCGTAGAACAGATTGAAATGAACATACAAGTCTTATACTGTTTTACGATATTTGCGAAAATCATCGAAATATTAATTTTAGAATATTGAATAAAAGAAAGAAAGCAAGAGCATGCATTAAGATGGTAGGGGAGGAACCGTTCAAGCTATTGCATGATTGTTACGAACAAATTGATAGTATAATTAACAGTATGAAAATGCCAGATTACGGAACGTTTTTGTCATATATAAATGTCCTTACATGCACTTACAGCTACTACATACTCACTTGGGACATATCTAATACTATATTATGATATGTAATATTATATTTATACATCATTCATTGTATATTAGTTTTATATAAACGTCAACTTTAGACGTTTTGTTTTAGCATGTTATTTGTCAATATACGAACATACGTCAATCATGTTGATAAATATGTTTCTCAATCTAGATCTTGATTATTTTCATATTAAATCTTAAGTTTTTTTGTAAACAGCTTGAGTTCGAAAATATATATAAAGTAGTTGTTTCATAGACACAATTATTACTTCTTTTACAGGAGATTTTTTATATATTTGGAGTTTTTAGATATTATTTTTTTAGATATTATAAAGTTTTTGTAAATATTATAAAGAAATACAGTGAGCATAAAGAAATATCTAAATCAGTGTAGTTAGAAATATCTAAATCATGTTACTATCAAAAAAACAGTTTAAATATGTACTCTTCGATATAGAATATTTAGAAAAATATCATAAAATAATCAAATAGTATCAAAAACAGAAAAAAATCTAATTAAATTCGCCAATTGACTAATTTGTTATTTGTTTCTTCAAACAAAACTCGAAGTCAAGTATCGATAAAAAATCAGGTTGAAGAAAGAATCTGTCGTCTATATAACATGATCTTCTTTTATATATCAATAAAAAAATTAGCTATTATCAAGCTAGTCCAAAAATTGTTCTATGTGTGTGAGATATCGACTTCTTTAGATAGTACTTCTAAAGATAAGATAGCAAGATGTTTGTGAATACGATTTTTATCGATACATATTATGATAAATGTGTTTTTTATTTTTTAAATTGTACGTTACTCTGAAATTACAAAGATAGTTCACATTGTTTTTCAACTTTTTGTTCAAACAATGAAAATTTTTCTCTCTCTTTAGAAAAATGTGAATAACAAAAAATGTTATCATAACAAAAAATCTTATCATTTTGAAAATTTTACGAATATTAAGGCAGACATTCTAATTGATTGATAGCACATATATTCGCCAATAATAAGTTCAAATATTTTAAATATTTTATTAAAATATAAAAAGAGTAGTACCCCATATATTTTTTTTAGCCGTTTTTTCTATTAATCGAACACTATAATATATTAAATGTATCGCTTATGACAAAAAAATATCTTTAAATCTTACCTTGTGAAACATAATGCGACAAAAACAAAGCAGCTTCTCTTAATACTCTAAACAAGCTGGCACTGACATAAGATTCGTTTGGTGACCAGTTAGGACCATAATGCTCATGTTTATTTCAGTTATTAACGGATTGCATTAATTGTTTAAGATATTAACCTTGATTTTCATATAAATATTCTGTTACATATTCTCACCTTACTTACCTCTCTTACATAACATTATAAAGTTGTAATAGACATGACATAATAAATAATTATTTAAAATATAATTTTGTTTATATTTTATTAATAATTATGTACAAAATTATGCGTTTCTTCTGTAGATAAATACGTATAAAATACAATAATTACAAAATTGAGAACATTTGATTTGTCTTAGGCAGTGGCGTAGCCAAGGGGGCTGAGGGGGTTGCAACCCCCCCCCCCCCGAAATTAATTTTCTGGATTACGCTAAGTGTGAGAAAAATTTTTTCGAATGACCTTTTTTGTTTGTCAAAAATAAAAAGTACAGCCTCCCCCCCGAAATTTTTTTCTGGCTACGCCACTGGTCATAGGATAATGTAACGTCATCGTGTGACATCGCCTGTAATTTTTGTATAATAATATTTAACATTTATATAAAACTTATATCTTTTATAATATAAGAAACTATTGATTCTCATTATTTATTCATTGCAGCTATTTGTAACAGCTATTTGTAAGCAGTTTTCGTGTAACTGAGTTACATGAAATTGTTTCAAACTTCCTTTAATTAATGTCTTCAGGTATACTGTAAAATGTGTATACAAGATTAAATTGTTGTATAAAATATTTACCCATTAATGAATTTGTGCGTCCAGCGCTTGTATACGTCAAAATTTATACTATTTATACAATTATATCCCGGGAGCAATATAATATCCCTGCTTAAAACGATGAATATAAAACAATAAAATTATATTATTTTCAGTCTAAATTCAATGCAAATCAATTATCATCTTATTGACTCATATTGTTTTAGATTGAAATTCTAGTCTAAACCTTATATAATTTTATCGTGCTTTGTATCCATCATTATAAGGACGGATGCACAAAACAATAAGTAATAAACATTTTTTTTAATTACGCATTGCTTTGGAATTTTCAATAATTTTGAATTGAACGATAATTATACAGTAATACAATAACTTCAATTCCTTGAATCTATTAGAGAAGATAAAAGTGCAGTAAGCACACGCATACTTAAAAATTAGATATAATATTAAAATACTATTTAGTATTTGTAATAAGATAACTTCAGGAAGAACAAAAATAAGAGTGCACTAATAATACCGTACTTAAATATTATTTCTTATCGCCAAAATTGTAGTCGCAACGAGTCGTATTGTGTACGAAAAATATTAGAAAGTTATATGCCACATTGTATACGATTTAATATATTGACGACAGCAATCAATGGCAGCAACGAAAGTTCCTCGAAGATCTCTAAACTACATAAATTCGATAATTGGCACAATGATGAAAATTTCGATGATATGTATACCACGCGTCATTAGTTTTTATACAGCACAAAAATGTCGCAAAAACATTGCAGAGATGTCACACTGAAACATTGTAACATTGTATGGAAGTTGTGAAATGTTTCTGCAACGTTGTTGCAAGATTGCGGCAATATTAAAATTTCAGAAACATTGCAATTAAAATTCTAAGATATCTAAATCAAATAAATTGAATTATTAAGTCTCAAAGAACTTTTGAAAAATATTATTTTAAATAATAATACTTTTCATCACATAATATGGTTTTCTTCAACGAAATAACAGTTTTTATTTTAAAAATAATATTTCGTATAAGAATATCATATTTTAATTAAACAAACCAAAGTCAAACAAAGTAGAAATATTAAATCTAAAAAAATCTTTACCTCTGCGTGAATTTTGTGCAACGTACAAGCGTTTTTAAATATTGAAACAGTATAAGTGCGTGTACAAATACATCAAAGTGCGCTATGGACGTAGTCAATATAGAGAAAAGTTTAGCGCTGCAAGTGCTTTGGAACGACGGCTAGGTCAATCCTGTTGCTTTATTTGATACTTCGAAACATTTGTAGCATCGAATCGACTCAAATAAATAGACAACGCGGTCCATTCAAGCGCTAGGAGGCCTGAGAAAGAGACAGAGAAATATAAAACGACATTTATGCTAACTTTTACGATCCTGCCGTAAATAAAAGTAATGCAGACACATCATAAATATATAAATTAGAGCATTAGAGTTTTAATTATTTTTATAATATTTCCGCAAAAATGTTTTGTTGTTTTAAAATTTCAGTAAAATGCTGCAATTTTATGTCTCCGTAATCTCTACAATATAATACATTGCAACTTGCAATGTTGCAACATTCCTGTAATGTTATTGCAAGCTTCTCTTGTATGGGCCGTTTGTAAATATTCTTACAAATTACAATATTTCTGACACAGTCATTAATGTTTCTATTTATAATACGAATGTATAGGAAAAGAAAAGAAAAATGACTAGTCTCTTGCCCGTAAACGAGGAATTTGCCGCGAAAATAATCCTTTGTGGCTTTTCGTTTCATGCTGAGTTTATAACCGGAGAATACGATACTACAAGAATGAAAGTGATATGATGATTTAGACTTATTAACTATGATTATCAACAGTTATATATACACACCGCAATGTTTTTTCAAATCACAAACAAAACAGGAACTCATGTGAAAACACTATTGAAGGGGACATCACTGGCATATTTCGCAAATTTCTTTGCTCGCTTAATACAAAACAGGTAAATGTTCACAGATAAAATGAAACTTACTGAACTGTTAACGCGAATATATTTATGGATGAGTTATGATGTGACCATAACTTTCGTTTATATACGCGGAAAACAATCTTAGTTCGTGAAACTAATGAATGGAATAGAATAGTGAATAGAATAGAATTGAAACTGAATAAATAGAATAGAACCAGATAAAAATTCAGCGACAAGAAATGATGGATGAGATCCATTAGAGACTGCAAGTGCTTTGAAGCGCCACATGGATCAATCATGACTTTTCTTCAAACGCTTCAAAAACATTTGCAGCGTTTAATGGTCCGTAACCTATGTTTCTGTTATCGCAATCAAAAACATTTGTTTGAACATTCAACTGGTTTAAAACTTAATTGACACAATTAAGAACAGTTTATCGGATAAAAATCTTCTACAGAGATCTTTCTGTTCTATGTATAAGCGAAGCTTTGTCTGGTCCCACAAGAGAAAAAAACGAACAGTGTCTTTTCTTCCGTGTGATTTGTTAAAAACGATTTGATAATATCGCATAGGTTTAAGGGATGTCTCCGTTTCTGACCATTGTCTCTGTAAATTTGGCAGTAGAACGATAGGCACATGAATTCACCAAACCCGTTACCTATTTCATATCTTCACTCATTCATTTCATTCATATCTTCATTCATTTCGATTCACTTTGCGCACACTATTCATTGAGGTAATTGATTGCGAATGCTGCTTCTTCACTTTTTCGAGTCATTCTCCAAATCCGTAATCGTTGGAGTCACGCCGTTGAGCTCATCTTGTATCTCTTGAAGGCTCTTGCCCTTCGTCTCTGGCAGTAGAAGTACGGTGAAGAGAATACTGGCGATACAGAATGCACCGAACAGCCAGAAAGTCGTGTAGTTGCCGAACGCCTCGATGATATTACTGGAAAATTTGGTGATGATGAAGGCTAAGAACCAGCAGACGGACACTGTCACGCCAGAAGCTTTAGCCTTGACATTAGAGGCAAACATCTCCCCCATCACGGCCCACGGAAGAGGACCCCAACCCACACTGTAAGTGGAGATGAAGATGACGAGTGCGACTACTGGTAACCAGGATATCTGCGCCACTACATCGTCCGCTTGCTGCACTTCCTTCAGGTAGAAATAGAAGCCCAGGGCACACTACGAAGCAAAATGAATAAACTTAAGTTAAAGGACTTTATAATGTGACATCAGTCCGGTGAGTCGAAAAATTCCAATAGTTTGATTTTTTTAATAAAATTTTACTTGACTCGATTGCATTCTGCATATTGCATTGCCGATTGCATTGCTGAAAATAAATTCATTAAATATCGTGAGTTTAATAGTGATTAATCACTACTGTTTTCTTTAGTAATTACGAATGATACTTTTCTGTAAGAGTCATAGTTGATTTGTTTAGAAATCTGAAGCAAATTATACTCGTGGTTAAGATACTTGAGAAAATGATAAAATATGTTTACATAATGTGTATGTAAAAACGGAGCTCATGCCCTCTTATAGATTATTTAACAAACGTGTCGCATTATTGAAAATTCAAGTGTTCTGAAATCTCTTCTCTCAGAAATATTGAATCTCGTGTTAAGCCAAGTTCTGTGAGCGCAAAGATTACAATTTTATTCGCTTGTTCCCTACATACTGGTTTCGTTATGACAGAGTTCGTGCAAAACCGATGGATTCACTAGTCGATGCCGTTTTATCGCGAGCGCCTTCGTTCCTTGCCGCGAATTCGAAGTCCATTTACGTAATCGTGTATACGGAATCACGTGGACGTGCCTCTCATTGCATGTGCACCGGATCGCATCATACGATGCAATAACGATCGCCGCACTTCATCGCCATGCATATCGGGCATCGTGTACGATGCCCGACCTTCCTTCTCATTTCGCAAGCAACATGCATTCCATGATGCACTTGTTACATTTTCTACATCAAATACTTCCGAGAGTGGTGAATTTTCGCGTTCAATCGCATTTATCTCCGCTCAGCCCGAGGATCATACAAAATCCAAGAGGCTACCCCGAGCCGGAGTAACGTCGACTAATTGAACTACACGTCTTGTCCTCGATAGTGAGATCCGCGATAAAAGTAACAACTCTTAAATGGCTTAGATGTACAACGGGCGTGTAATTAGATACGTCGGCCGTGAGTGTGTCGCTGTGGAATGCGTTTAATGAACTGATATGCATAATCGGCGAGAGCGATATGAAAATGAGCCAATAGCGAGCAATAATCACTATCGTCTTCGTAATAATCCGCTACAACAATGTTAAGAAAAGTTTCTTGTAGAATTGAACAGATGGACAAAAATGGATAGAGGTCCTGAAGTGTAATTTTCTGCAGTCTCTTCTTCTCAAATTTTGAAGATTCGAAGATGTTTTCTTAAATATATTTCAAGATTAAATTAAGTTATAAATTTAAGAATTAATCGTATCATATAAATTGTCCCCCTGAAACTCTCTATGAATTTGTTGACGAGTAGAAAACACATGCCTTTGAATTCGGGAGCGAAATACATTCGGCAACAATTAATACAACTATTTTGAAAAAATAGGCTCAAACAGCATAAATTTCTAAAATACATCTCAAAAATCTTTTAAAGTGCCTAAAAGGCATAGGATGTTCTTACGACGTCCATTAGAAGTTTGTGCTGTCTGGGGAAGATCGCTTACCAAGCTGACCGTCTCTCCGATGCCGGACAAGACAAGGAGCATCCTTCTGCCTAACCTGTCGACGACCACAGGCGTCACCCCTGACGCCAACATTTGTACTACACCAATAATAATCGGTGCTTGATCCGTTGGGACGGAGCTATTGGCGCTGATGAAGATGTTTTGCATGTAAAACAGCACGAAGTTGATGCCGGTCAACTGTTGGAAAGAAGCTAAGGCGCAGGTATAAATCAAGGCCTTGCGATTAGCCTTCACCTTGAATAAGTCGGAGAGACTGGCTTGATCCCTGAATGCTTCCTCGATTATAGCCTGGAAAAAAAACGAGATTTATTTAGCAGCGACAATTGAAGTTTAACAATGTGCACAGGATGCCATGAAATCATTGAGTGGATGTACATTGTAAAAATGAAAATCTCAAAATTGGGAAAAGGAAATAATTTTCCGAAAAATCATAGTGTGCTTGCACATAAAATTGTAATTTTATATTTTTTAGTGCTGAAACAACAATCATTTCTCTTCGTCTGGCATTCGCTGTGTACACATTGAAAGTAAACATTCAACAGTTTTGGGTGACCTCTGTATTTAGGAAGTAACAATGTTTGCTTAATCAGTCGTGATTGTCCTTCGCGAACCGCGAAACTATCGTTTAGGATCAAAGAACGGCCTTAGCCGCGACCTCGCTTATCCAACGTGACCTGGCGGACAATATATGTGTTTGAGCATGCGTTAACCATGATCGCGCACGTGCTCGCGGCGCAGATAATATTGACGATTACCTTGTTATTCAAATAGCCAGTCTCGAGATCTACTCGCGGAAGTCGCGAACACGCTCACGCGACAGAAATCACGATTTTTGTTAAAAGAGAAAATAAGTCCGGTCTTTTCGAATCTTTATAATTTTAACTTGAGAATGTTATATATCATAATCAGTGTTTTAAGTTGTTGATTGATTTTCGTTAAATCTCTTATTAATCACTGTTTTTCACGTTTTAAAATTAAACAGCAATTTCTTGACTTTTTGTTAGGTTAGGTTAGGGTATTTTCTCCAAACAAAGAAGCAAACAGAAATTGTTATGGCTCACTTACTTGAATTTCATCGGCCTCTTTCTGGACTGCTGCTTCAGACTTGCTTCGAAGCTTCGCCAAAGACGCGATTGCCTCCTCCTTGCGACCCTTGCTAAGGAGATAATACGGAGACTCCGGCATCAGTATGAAGCAGGCGAAGAAGAGTATAGGTAAAATGGCACAAATGATCCAAAATACCGTGTAACTAACGTAGGGCCCGATAGCATAAGAATACAGTAAACCAACCGTGATGAAGAGTTGAAGGAAGGAACCCAATGCACCTCTGATGGAAGTCTGCAAGATTTAATAATTGTCAATAATATATAGTTATCATCAATTAGCAATTACAGAAAAGCTGTTGGAACAGAGTTTTCATTTCACACCGTGAAAAATGTTTGCAAGTATTGACATGAATTTTAGTTATAATGAAGCAACGTGTTTTGGTTGAAAGGCAGAGTTCCTGGTTTTTAGAACCAAATTTGGATAAAAATCAGAATAAGACCGCTAAATTTCTTGGAGTGAGACTTTACTCCAAAGTAGTGAAAATTGCGCCAGTCGAAGTTAGAGCGAGAACTTCACCCCAAACGAGTTAGAACTCACTCCAAACGAGTGAAAAAATTATTCGCTTGGAATGAGTTCTCACTCGTTTGGAGTGCGTTTTCACTCGTTTGGAGTGAAATTCTCGCTCTAACTTCGACTGGCGCAATTTTCACTACCTTGGAGTGAAGTCTCACTCCAAGAAATTTAGAGTGTAATTTTTCTCTTATTGACCCTTTGTTTTCCTTTCTTGATTATGCCTCCTATTTTCAATTTTTGTAAATTAGTTTTAAATAAGTTATATTTTTTGTTTATGTAACTTTTAACTTAACTAATTTTATATTCCATTAACTTTAAACCTAGCTTAAAAAGGAAAATTAACTTTCCTAATGCTGGATACAACGTATAGAACTTACCTCAGCGATCTCGCCCACGTACATAGGAAGGACCGTGAATGGGATAGCCAGAGCGAATCCAAAAATTAATCGAGCAAAGTACAGTTGTACAATCTGGGTCGCAGTAGCAACCAACGTCCATCCAATCAGAAACGGTAACAACGAGAACAGCAAAGTTCGTTTGCGGCCAAACCTGCGAATGAATGTCGAAGATAAAGAGAAATCGATTTCCGTCATTGTATACAACAATTCTACATTTACTGACAAAAGGTAAGAAACAAAGTGTTCTTTTAAGAATTTTTGTATCTTATTTATTTCTTGAGATACATGCATCAAAACAAGGATTAGATTATCGAACTGAAGAAAATAAAACGAAGAAGTGCATTGAGCAATAATAAAATTAAGACATCATCGTAATGATAAATATGTACTTCTCGCCGAGAAATCCCGCGATGAAGCTGCCGAAAATCGTTCCAGCGGGCACCAGAGAACCTACCCAAGAACTCTGTTCTTTACTGATCGGTCCATCCAAAGGTCCTTCAACCCAACGTTTATCATCTTCCAACATAGGAAGAACCGGACTCGTCCATCCTAGCATAGCTCCAACCGCAACGATACATATATTGCCTGTAATCACGTCGAAATACGGAGATAATGTGCGTGTATATGAATTCTTGAAATTCTTAAAATTGTAATAATGAAGGAACAATGAAAGAGAATACAGAAGCGCAATATATAGGTTCGACCATAACAGTAATTATCTACAATTAGAACAATCATGGAATTTAATTTTTTTCCATTATTAACGTAACATTAAATTAGGGAAGTAAATTTTAGGGGAGAGAGGAGGTGCAAAGGAGAGGGGGATTATAAAACTTTGTAGAACATTTCTTGAATTTCATAGATCCGAAAGGATAAATTGCCAAATTAGGCTGATTTCTAACTTAGTGTCTTTGTTGAGGTTGTGTATTTGTGTGTGTTGGGATATTTCTAAATTTCTAAAAATTCTCTGTATGTTTTCTCGATAATAATATCCTATATCCTGTTTCTACATGAAGCGACGCGCAATATACGGACGTAGAACGAAATATAAGCGCAATGCAATGAATCTGCGATAAATGTATACACAGTAAAGTGAGGAAAACCAACAAGGCGTTTATTACAACGCGATAATGTGCGCCTCGGCATTATCGTGTTTACGTAATCTGCGACAGATTGCCGTTGCGCTGCCGACGGTGTGTTGCGTTATCACACAATTGTAAGAGGCATGTGCATGTGGCATCGAGAAGATAAAATCACACGGATTTTCATTATATCAACGTAATTGTCATTAATGACGGCAAGCGCAGGACCGCTGAGAATCTTTATTCTGCAATTTCCGAGGTGAGAAAATCATCCGGCCATCTCTTCGTCACCGCACGTCACCAGCAGACAGTTTGACAACGATAAGCCGGTCGTACGGAAGGACAGGTCGATCAGTTCGTTGCAAATTATATTAACCGTCGTCTTTGATTACCTGACACTGTCCTAGATTTCCATAAATTATACGCGGTACTTAATTGACTCGCGATTATTCAAGCAGCAAATTTTCGAAAGCTCTCGCGCGACACGTATGCAGCAGGCTCGATCTGACTGACCAATTAGGGAATATATATTAGGGAATATATTTGGTTATATTTCACCTCATTTATCCTCTATCTCTAAGGTAATAGTGTCGAACAACATCGAATTATATATATTCAATTGTGAATTGAAGCACTTTTGTTCGCAATGCGAACGATCTGAAATCAGTATCCATAATTAGCACATCACGAGGTCAACAATCCTCGCTACAGATAAATCCGCCTTTCCTCAAGTCTAATCAGCATTGTCGCCTGCTCATTTCCTTTTGACCCATTTTCACGCTGTGTCAAGCATCGTCGCTTTACTAATTACGCTGCGTTCAATAACTTTTCATCGATTGATCGCACGTATTGCATCAAGCGACGACGATATATTTAGCAGCGCAATAAATCTGTGTAGAGTATTATTACACAGATACACAGATAAGCACTCGCACAGATTCACTGATCTGTGTATACGTGTAAAGGCACCAACTACGGAGTAGGCACAGATAATATGAAATAAGAGCTTATTTCTTCTAAAGCACTCTGACGGAAAGTGCTGAAAAAGTTGTTGCATTTCTTATAAAACTCATTATATGTAATGCTAAGTGCTAGGCGAGAAACGTGTATGAAGATATAAATATTTTTTGCTCTTGATTTGGTTAAAAATTAGATATTATAGACATCAAGTTGCACTTATTTGCTTCAGGTAAATTTATTGATGTTGATATTCAATATACGTTTACAGCATGAACCACAGATAGAACTTGAACGATAGAACCTAAAGAATGCGTAACAAATGGATCAAATTTTTTTTCTATTTCTTTTTGTTCTTTATTATGTTTACTATATTTAATTTTCGTTTTTCTCTTTATTATATTTATTTTTCGCATACGTGATATGTTTTAATAAATAATTGTAGTTTTTTCCAATGTATACACAAAAATAGCAAAAATAGCATAGCAAAAATTATATTAAAATTATATTTTTTATATTTTTTGTAAAGCTACACTGACATTGTAGTGTAAATTACTATAGAAAATATTATAGAAAACTACTTTCTAGAAAAAGACTCGAAAACTAATAGAACATTACTATAGAATTTGACTGAATCTACTAAATATATAATATAAGAAAATATTCAAGTAATTACTATAATTTTGTAGTAAAAAGTTAAACATGCATAACATTTTTATAAATATAGTAATTCCGATTATATGTATGCGTAATATATCTCTAAATGTTTGCGTGTTATTAGATATTTTAAATAATATTAATATTTATTTGTATTGTGCAGCAATGTTAATTTAAAAAAGCATTCCACAATCAGTTCTGTGATCTTACGACAAGAAATACTACGAACGTATAAAAGAAAGTGACTTAAGGGTCACCGCCACTTCATTTTCGACTATAAAAATTTCCCATCGTCGAAAATAGATAATTCTCGTTGACCAACTTTATATATCTACTTATTTAATCCGTCGCAGTATTTATGCATGATTATGTAAAAAAACTACGATAAAAAGAAAATAAATTATTCTTAAGCGAGATAACACGTGATCTTGCGCGTGTTTCAAAATAAAATTATCGATATGGAAAGCAAAATGTAACAGAAAAAAATTTCTTTTTATGGCCTTGAGCAGTGCATCTTTGCCCTCTTAAATGAGATAGTACGAGCGACAACGCTGTCGCGTCAATCAGAGACGGAAGAAGACGTTGACCCAACATCGATCGGATAATACATTTCATCTGTTGGATTTCCACTCGTCGGCTTTCATTCAGGCTATTATCCACCGCCTCAAGAAATTATAATTCACCTTCTTTTTCCTGTACGTGACAATCCGCCTCCTTTGTTGGTCCGCATTCACACGCGCGCAAAGTTACGCGTGACGGATTATCGCGTCGACAGAAATATACGGAGCTGATGACAAAATAGTCCGCAATAAGTGCGATAAGAAGTGAAATGGAATTAAATCGACCGCCGTGAGCGCACTTCGCGACGTCAAGAGCATCTCTCTCGCGTCGCACATCGAAGAGCGTTGGTCGGAACTCCAAAGCAGCAATGATGATATTTCCCGTATTCTTGATTGATGACAGCCGTCATTTACCGTATCGTACGTTATTATTCTTAATTTTCTTTTGTAACTGTAACTAAAAATTTTACCTGGTTGTTTATGAAGTAGTGCGAAAATTTTGTATTCAGTTTGATGAGTTTTACTTTCATATAACGGACTTGTCATCAATACTCAGACATCCCGTATACTCATCATTTATTCTAATATAACATCTATGCATTTCTAATTCAAATTAAATGAAACTGGTCATTCATAGAATACAATAACGAATTGACCGCGTCTAGGTGGCTTCAAATATGTTATACATGTGATCTTTTTAAATATTTATCTTAAGAATTGGAAAATTCGTCTAAAATTAATAAAATTCTTCTAAAGTATTAAAATTGGAATAATATTACAGCTAAAACGTGAGAAAAAGAAACTAATTTAGTAGTAACAAAGTAAATTTTTTAGCCTTTCGAAATTTTATATTAATATCCTCCATCATGAATGAATAAAGTTAAGCAATGTGTTACTAGATAGAATGAAGTTTCTTGCAAATGATATACTGTTTCGGATAATAAAGCAAATTTCATCCATAAGATGATTAAAATCGAGTATGTAGAGAAGAATATTGCGGCGAAGAATAGTTTTATAAGTTATGTGTAACGACGATTACGCATGTTTCGGATATTGTTGCATAAATATTAATATGTCCGTGTACAGATGCTAAGCTCAGCATTATAGCGCGTATTTTCACACACGATTATAAATACCGTTAACGTCATTGACGTTGCAAAACCGTGCGAATTGACATTGCACCACATCCAGTTGACAAATATTGACGTGAGCGCGCGCGCTACGTAACATTGAACTGCGTTCGACATCGAAATAGTGGGAGAACGCGTGTGTTTTTTGCGACGAATTAAAAATTAAGACGACGCATGATAGGATAACGTAGTGGATAGTTAACGACGGGAGGCGTCGCTACGGATATCTAATTACCCGGAAAAGTCCAGATTGTCGCGATACAGTCGAAAATAAAAATGCTGTGACAACCCAGAGTGTTATCTATCACATAATCGTGATAAAGAGATGGAATACAAAGGAAAGTCAATAAAATTGCGCTTGCATTTATAAAATCGGTCACTGATAAAGAGAAGAAAAAAACTCTGTAAAAATTACCAAAAGGAGAGAAAGAACGTGGATACAATGAATCATGGTATATGTGATAAACACGATTCCGTTTTAAAGTCGTGATAAAACTAGCATGCCCCACGCGTCGACCAGATTACATATACTAAATCTGAACGCACTTACTAAACGAAAACAGAAGAGAAAGTATAGAAATAGGGCAGAATAGAAGAAATAGGACAAAAACTATTCAATTAATTCTTTCCATATGTAATATTCCATATTATGTAACGAAGAGAATTAACCCATATATCGTAAAAATTGCTTCTACTATTAAATAAACTTTATTAAATTCTTGCTCATTTTCTAAAAAGAGAATCAATCCATATATCGTAAAAATTGTTTCTACTATTAAATAAACTTTATTAAATTCTTGCTCAGTGTATTCTTACAATTAATAAAAATATATTGATAATAGGCAATAAGTGGGAGAATGTCTACGCAAATTGTATACATTTGGACCAGATGGTTTAAAATAATACTTTATCAGAGTGATATTTATGTACAAGTAATAGTAGGACACGGAGAAAGTAATGTAAAAATTACAACGTCTTATTTTGTAATCTTGAACCATATAGAAATTGTGATCGAAATTTCTATATATCTGTATATCTATATTTCTATATTTCTATATATCTATTTTAAAATATTATGCACGTTTGACTTTCTACTGTAAAATTATAGTTGTTGCTTGTTATAGAAACGATCAAAATAGAAGCAGAGTCTTTCAACGACGCAAAAGTCGCGGACTCATCACCTCACCCTTTCCGCGACT